GTTATTACAAAATATTGAATATAGTTCCCTGTGCTATACAGTCGGTCCTTGTTGGTTATCTGTTTTATAGATAGTAGTGTGTATATGTTATTCTCAAATTCCTAATTTATCCCCCAACCTCTCCCCTTTGGTAACCATAAGTTTGTTTTCTGTGTCTTTGAGTCTGTTTCTGTTTTGTAAATAAGTTCATTTGTATCATATATTTTCTTAGATTCCACATATAAGTGATAACATATCATATTTGTCATTCTCTGTCTGACTTACTTCACTTAGTATGATAATCTCTAGGTCCATCCATGTTGCTGCAAATGGCATTCCTTCGTTCTTTTTTACGCTTAGTAATATTCCATCACATATATGTACCACATCTTCTTTATCCATTCCTCTGTTGATGGACATTTATGTTGCTTCCATGTCTTGACTATTGTAAATAGTTCTGCAATGAACATTGGGGTGCATGTGTCTTTTCAAATTATGGTTTTCTTTGGATATATGCCCAGGAGAGCTACCATATGATACTATAATATATAATTTCTGAGAACAGTTGTCAGTATTAAAATGCTTAGAATTTACAGATAGATTGCTATGAAAATGATTGCTTAAATGAGTCCCTTATTGAGTACATTCAACATCTAAACCATCTGAACTTCTACTTTAGGAATGAAACTTGCATACTCTCATTGTGAAGAGTTCTGATTGACCAGACACTGTACTGGGTGCTTCATGCATCTTATTTCACCTAACCATCAGAGTAACCCAACTGAAGTCAGCTCTCTAAATGACCCCCATTTACAAATGAGAAATTGAAGGCCTCTAGCTGTTAAATTACTCCCTTTAGGTCACACAGCCTTGCACGTGGTGGAGATGGGATTAGAAGCCATCTCAGCAGACTCCACAATTCACATTTAACCACCATGCTCTATTGCTACACTCGTTAGAAAATCAAATTTAACATGACATGGAATTTCTAATTTTTCTCACTCTTTCATGTTTATAAAAATGTATCTTTATGTCAGGGAAAAGAGAGTTTTCTTTAAAAAACCAAATTTCAAAAATCAGAAAAACAAAGAAGTTAATGTTAATCTAATAATTTTTCATGACCCACTTAAAATTAAGCTGAGAAGCATCTTGGGTGATCTGAAAAGAATTGTATCTGAGTGGTAGTATTTTTCCATAATGATTTCAGTAAAACTATAATGTAGAAAGTAGATTAAGAATATTTTAATTTCAGAAAAATCTAGACATAGATGATGAAAGAACATGACTCTCTGAAAAAATATATAATTGCAGAGTCATCTACCCATAAAGATATTTTCAAAACTGATTTTTCTTCATAGCCTTGATCCTTTTTCTTTCCAGTGCATATGTTCAACCTGTAAGAGAATGATAAATTATTTTATTTTAAAATCTTGATTTTTCACAGCAAAATGGAAGTGCCAGTTAAGTATGAGTTTTAACTAAAATAGCATTAGATTCAGCAACACAGAGAAAGTGTTTGCAGGGCTGTAGCACTCAGTACTAGTTCACCCATACACATATTTCCCATTTACTTGGCATTACATCCTGGGCGCTACTTTATCAAATCACCTAATCACCTAATAACATTGACTTATAGAATCAGTTTGATTTAATATGTTCCTTTTTTTTTCTCAACATATGCTATCTTAATTTGTATTAGCTGAACCTTGTTGCCTGCTTTGTCACAACGATCCTGCATCTCACCAGGGGAGACAGAAGAGCCTGTATTCTTGCTTTGTTTTAGATGGCTGTGTGCAGGCAGATGGCTGTCCCCTACTGCAAAGTTCAGAGTGACAGATTTAGAATATCAGTGCTTTGTGCTGCAGGAAAGCATGTGCCTCTGACTATTAATTGTAGGATTAACATTTTTAAACAGTCCCATACTTTTTAGTGTTCTATAAAACAGTTTTATAAATAGTGTAATAAAGGAGTATTTAAATGCCATACATTAAAACCAAGAAATCATTTATTTGATATCCTGTCTCTGTATGTTCCATATATGCTTAAAGGTTAGCTGCACTGAGTAAATTGCAAAGGTAGAAATAAAAATGAGAGATTTTACTAGGTGTTTCGTCTTGTTTGTTTTTTTAAAAAAAGACGGTCTGAATGTCTGCTTTGATTTTACCATAATCAGAACATATTTTAAAGGCATATTAGAGTAGTCTGAATGTATTTGTTAACTATAGTCAGGTAGCTGAATGTCAGATGTTCCAGAGCCAAGAAGGCAGAGATAGTCAGCATCTAATAACAATGATCTA